TAAATAAATAGATCCTTCAAATCTATAAGGAAAAAGGCAAATAATCCAAGAGAAAATTAGGCAAAGATTATGAATAGGTTATTTCACTGAAAAGGAAATCCAAATGGCTCTAAAAACAGGAAAACACACTCACTCTCAACCATAAAACAAACACACATTAAAATTACTATCAGAGGCCGGGCGCAGTGGCTCATGCCTGTAATCCCAGCACTCTGGGAGGCTGAGGGGGGAGTATTGCTTGAGCTCAGGAGTTCTAGACCAGCCTGAGCAAGAGCAAGACCCCGTCTCTACTAAAAATAGAAAGAAATTAATTGGACAACTAAAACTATATATAAAAGAAATTAGCCGGGCATGGTGGCACATGTCTGTAGTCCCAGCTACTCAGGAGGCTGAGACAGAAGGATTGCTTGAGCCCAGGAGTTTGAGGTTGCTGTGAGCTAGGCTGACTCCACGGCACTCTAGCCTGGGCAAAAGAGTGAGACTCTGTCTCAAAAATAACTAACTAACTAAATAAATAAATAAGCAAGCAAGCAAGCAAGCTCATTATCCTTTAGACCTAACCATCCTACTTCTGGGATTTGATACTACAGGTATTGTAGTATTGCAAAATGATAAATATATGGAAAGGACATTTGTACTGCTTGTATTAGCAAAAGATTGAAACAACTTAAATGCACATCAACAGAGGACTATATGAATAAACCACAGTAAGTTCATTTCATGGAATCCACTGCGGTCATTAAAAAGGACAAGGTCTCTCCATGAGTTCTGATTCCATATTCAAGATGTGCACGTAAAGTGAAAATGAAAACGGGCAGAACAGTATACACAGCGTGCTTTCACTTGTGCTTAGAAAATAAAATAATGCAGGCATATGCTTACATTTAAACAGAAGGCTGTGGAAAGCTGCACAGGAAAAATGCTAACTAGAGTTGTCCCTATAATGGAAACTGGAGGGCTGGGGGTGAATGGTAGGAAAAGAACTTTCTTTTCCTAATCTAAACACCTTTGTACCTTTAAAACTTTGTACCGTATCAACAAGTTTAGAAATAATTTAAAAACAAAATATAAATTAAAAACTGAACACTCATAATAGTGAAAAGCCACAAGCAGCCTACATGTCCATGCACAGGGGAAGGTCGCGCTCTCACCCTGCAGCGGTAGGCGCAACGAAGAGCTCATCTGTTTACTAATTGGACGGGCTCCAAGGCAGACTGTTTAATGGGAAAAAACGGCACCGTACAACAATATATTTACGTGAGGAAAAAACTCCTAACCAATCTTCTATTGTCCTGCGGATGCACATTTGGGATCTATGCGCAGAAGGGACAATCGCCAAAACGGTGAGTGCTCATCCCTGCGAGGGGGAGGAGCAGAACTCGGAGGAGGAGGTCAAGGACTTTAGATGTGTCCGTGACTTTACATTTTCCTGCGATGAACACATCATAAACTCTTTTTTTTGTATAGGCTGGAGACTGATGAAATGCTAACAATAGTTGTTTTGGTGTGGTGAATAGTGAGTGATTTCTCTCGTTTTTCCTGTTCTACACTTTCCAAATACTCTACGACGAGCAGCACCGACTGTATGCTCAGGAAAAGAAAAGTTACCGGAACGCGCTCACTGCGACGTGCGGTTCCGCCGCTGCAGGGCGGCCCTGTCGCGTGTCCGCGAGCGCCGGGCCCTCCGCCCAGCGCTCACTTACTTGTCTGGGACGCCGGGTGCTCCTGGCTTCTCTGGAAGGGG